AAAAAGAGAGAAAGAGAGAGAGAGAGAGAGAGAGAGAGAGAGAGAGAGATTGGAAAATACTGGTTAAAAAAGTTCTAATATCCGAGATAGAAATCGGATAGAATCTCGTGTAGATTATCTCGATGTGCATGGGGATACAGGTGTCTTTTTATCTCTCCTTTTACGATCTAATTCCAGGCAACGTAGGCTATCCAACTTCCGTGTTTCCTTCGTTTCCTCCTTTTTTTTCTTTTTTTAAACCATCGTACGCATAACGTTGAAGCTGAAAATTTGAAACTCGCGATCAAATGATCAAATTCCAAAATCACTCCGTCTTTTCCAGGCTATGACTGGACCTTGCTTCCGGTCACTTCTCGCGCGGGCGGTCGACGAAGCGCCCACGTGAAACGTCCGATGAACGCGTTCATGGTTTGGGCTCAAGCGGCGAGACGCAGATTGGCGGATCAATATCCACAACTTCACAACGCTGAACTCTCGAAAACGCTGGGAAAACTGTGGAGGTATGTTTCGCGTTCACCCGTGCACAACGTTGCGTCTACCATTTAACGTTAACCATAGCCTCCTTCTAATGCGACAGAATTTTAAGCGACGGTGAGAAGCAACCGTTCATAGAGGAGGCTGAAAGATTGAGGAACGCGCACAAAAAACAACATCCGCATTACAAGGTGATCATCGAATGAAAAAAAAAAAAAAAAAAATAATCGTTTTTAAAAATCGATCGATTCCGATTTGGTTCGGATCTAAATCTAAATCGTTAAATGGCAATTACAGTATCAGCCGCGTCGACGGAAACCAAAATCGGAGGAACAAATGGGGATCGTGATGCATCGGACCGCCTTATCCTCTCCAGCCACGTCTCTGGATTCCACCAACTCGTCCGAATGCGCGTATCCTCGTCTATATCCAGATACCGGGATCAAAATGTACGAGAGGCCGACTTATCACGACAACAAAATCAATTACGACGTTTCGAGATCAAGTTGGTCGAACGACACGAGCAAATACCCGGCCGATCATTCGATCGTAGAAAGTAAACCGTACGAGGGTGCGAGATACGAATCGAACGTGGCCAAGAGCTGCTACGTGGACGCAAAGTGCTACGAGACGGTCAAATATCATCACGAGGTATCCGCCGCTGTCAAGTATCACGAAGCGATTCCAAAGTATTCGGAATTGCAAACGAAATCGGCTTACGATCTACCAAAATATCCCGACAATCCCTTAAAATATCCCGCTGACGTTACCAGCCCGAGTAAATCGTACGCGTGCGTACACGGCCATTATGCATCCGCTCCCGAGGGATACACGGTGCACGAAGAGAATGAGTATCAAACGCAGGGAGTCTCGACCCATTCTTTTTATCCGTATATTTCCGCATCCATGACGCAACCACCTTATTACATGGGTCCACGATAAATCTGGAACTAAGATCGGAAGGATGGATAGCCCGTTGTCCGGGCCATTGATAGTTAAACGGTTAAACCGCTTAGCAACGTTTACTTCTTTCTTTCTTTCTTTCTTTCTTTCTTTCTTTCTTTTTTTTTTCCTATTTATTCTTTGACAAACAACCAAATAAATAAACGATTATACCGTTAATACATCTCTACTTCAAATTAACAAAACATTTCCTCTATCTACTTTGAATAATATTATAATTTACTATTGTTATCGCTTTTTATTATACATCATCGCAACCATCGCTGGTACAAATTGTCCTTCATCGTTGCTCTTCACTTTCGAAAAACGAGAATACGCTTACACGTTTTATACATATATATCGTGAAATCTAAAAGTAAGTATTTTCATAAGTAAGTATTCTACTAGAGAGGGGGAGGGAGGGAAGGAGGGGGGGGGGGCAAAAAACAAAAAATAAAATCAAATTGTGCGCTATATCTTTTCGATGACATCGTGTCACACAGTTCGATAAACAAAAGTTCGCTTTATAACGTATAATTTTTTTTTTTTTTTTTCAATAATTCTTAATCACGGAAATAACAACGTATGTACAAAATATTAACCAATAATTCCACTACGAAGAAAAATAAATAAAGAAATAAAGGCTCGAAAAGGGACGGAGAGGGGGAGAGGGGGAGGGGAGAGGGGGGGGAGGAAGGAGGAGAGAGAAAGAATAAGGATAAAAAATGCCATCTTTCGAATGGATGCAATACAATCATACCTATATATCCGATTCAAACGCAATATTATACGTCGTTATAAACATCGCGATTTATCACAGCGGCTAATTCTTTTATTTGATCTCTATTGGCGTGCATAAACGCTTTGGTGGTCCATATCATGTCGGCCAAAATTTCGTCGCTCTTTTCATCCATGTTTATATCCTGAGATAATTGCGGATTAAATCTATAATAAGGTACGCCGATCATAGAGCACCAATTCCTTGCACGATCAACGATCCTTCCATCGCTCGCGGTTGCTTGATCCACTAGCAATACCGCGAGAACCGATATTCCCATCGCAAACTTTGCGGTAGACCATAAACTTTCGGGAAGAAATATGTCGATATCTTTCAATGGACTGGTAGGTATCAAACCAGTGCCAAGAGAAACAACCAAAGACAGGGGGATTACTTCTTGTTCGCGTCCAGAGGCCTTTAAAGCGAGATTGTATTCGTGAATTTCAGTTATAGCGTCCAAAGTCGGGTTATTCGCTATTAAACCACCGTCGAGAAATTTACCGAATGCTCGAAAATACGATGGAGCCGCCCCGGTTGCTCTCGCAGCATGCCAAAGCAATTGTTCATTCGGTGGCACGGGAGAGGCAGATGTCGAATTTTCTGGAATTTCAAGTAAAGCACTCGGTGCATCGTAATTACGAAACAAATACAAATCGACGGGTTTTTTGTCAGCTAATACACTGGTGATCATTATCTTGGGCTTCTCGATATCCGACATCACGGTATTGGCGCCCAGACTATCTTTCAACACTTTCTCTAAACCTTCGCTATTATATGGACGCATACCAACGAAAGCTTCCTCTTTTATACGAAAATACAACGCTTGACATTCTCGCAAAGACTTGCCGGCTGCCAGACCAAGGGCTAAGATTCCACCGGTCGAAGTGCCCGCGATCCAATCGAAACATTCGATGATAGGTTTCTTCAAGATCGACTCAATCTCCAACAATGTTTGCACGAGAACCAAACCGCGAATACCTCCCCCATCCAGGCAAAGAAGTCGACCACCTTTTATCTTCTTGTTTTCTTGCGTAGCCATTTTATCCATCCCGGAAACATGAAGCATTTGATCCAATATAGTACGCGGTATAGCTTTTGGCGGTTGTTGCGGTGCAATACCGTTAAAATTTTCGTTATATTTGCAGCCCAGATTGCAATTAATCATATCCGGTGGACAACGTTGGGCCCCCACTGCATCTAAAATGTACAAAATCTTTTGGCCCTCGTTGTTATCGATATTTATACGATGTCGTGGCGTTTCCGACTTCCAATTTCTAGCATCGATATCCGCTCCGAATCCTATCAGAGTTTGCACTATGGCCGCTGTACCTTCAGAAACTGCCAAATGCAATGGAGTATTACCATCCTTGTCGACGATATTCACGGAACACATATGACTCAATAGAGCCACCACGCATGGTAACCGTTTTCTCATCGCCATAATGTGCAACGCCGTACGGCCATCGAAGTTCAAAGCATCTATATCGCAATTACTTTCTATCAGGGCGTTAATCACCTCCCTGCTTAGCGACCAGTGCAACGGCGTGCCACCAAATCTCATGTCTTCGGCATGAAGAACATTTGGTTGACTGTGAAGAAAATCTCCTACGTAACCAGGGCTGGAAGGTTGACCCTCGGAAGCAGGTATGTTCACATCTGCTCCGATTAAAAGAAGAGCTTTAACGCATTCAGGCTTGTTGTTTAAACACGCGACATGCATCGGCGTATGCCCATTACTGTTACGACTGTTTAAACTATTCGGAAGATCACCTCCAAGGGCTAAAATTATTTCTTTAGTGGATGTCGCTGCATAATGGTACACGGTATTTGCGTTAAAATCCAAATGTTCCAATGAACTTTTAGCTTCTATCAACATTTGGACTGTACGTAGATTATTCGTTTGCACCGCAACTTGTAAAGGAGATACACCCGTTTCCACATCTCCGCTATTTAACTGACTATTCACATCTGCATGAGCAAATGCATTATAGAGAGCAAAGTGAGCTGCCAAATGTGCCAGAGTCCATGTAGGATGTTCCATTAAGGTATCGCACAATTTTTGTATCTTATTCACATTACACATCTGTATAATAAAAACAACGAATAATTATAATATATAGTATTATAATATAAATTATAATATAATATAATTTTTATCGTAATTTTTATCGGTATAGATATAACAAAAATTCTTAAAATTCTTTTTTGCAGAAGAAAAATTACCTCGCGACAAATTTGAACAAGTACCGGAACCTTGTCTTTATACACAAGAAAATGTATTTCGGTTTCCTTCTTTTCTTCCGATCTGTACAAACTGAAAACATTGTATTGATAAATTTTATATCGCGTTATTTAAAAAATATAGTAGCAAAGATATGCGAATATGCGAAGATATCTAATTACCTATATGCTTGATGCAATGTTTCCGTACAAGGTCTATGAAGAACAATTTCATATTTTTTTTCATTTTTTTCTCCTGGACCATAAAGTACGATACCATCCTCGCGACATTCAATATGTCGATTACTATAATTCTCGGGCTTAACCTCTTGGACTATACTCGGTGGTACATCCGTGTATACCATCCGAAGAACATTACTAGCGATTGTTCCAAGCCAAGTCATGATGTGGACAATTGATGAACAATTTATAGGTTATAAATCAATACTGTCACCACGCCTTTTCTTAATCGACGAATATCTATTTAAATAAATCAACGAATTATATATATATACAAAATTCCATTAATTATTTCAATCTAATTATAATTATAACATCATAATTATAACGTATCAAGAATCGATACTGCACAAAAATAAATGTAAAAAAAAAACCCTGTAACAGACAACCTTACACTGATTCAATTGTCAAGCATGAAAACGATGTAAACAAAAAAGTTTTCAACATAGTAGTACAACATATTGTATACATAAGTACACGTATATACTTTATCACGTACTTATTTTATGTATAAGGTATGTATGTTCTTTATATCATATCCAATATACAAAAAGTACGAATAACGATGACTACAATCGTCATAGTACTCTATCAAACAAAATAGTACTTTATTATAATAAAGTATAATTATCAAAATATTATTCACTATTTTTTTTAATTTCGTTTTATTTCTTTTATTTTATGAATAAAACTTTAGCATACTTTAAAGTTTGGTACGATACATTTAAAAAAAGTATCATATATAGTTATTACGTATAAAATTGTATACATATGCGCGCGTGCGCGCACGTGTCTACATGTAATAAAATATATAAAACAATAAAAAGTTTAATTTCACGTCCGCGTTATTAAATATATATATATATATACATATGTATGTTATGTATGTTTATGTATGTTTATGTATGTTATGATATTTATTAACCTTAACGTTTATACGTAATCGTATACGTATCGTTGACAGTACATTATCGGTATATATTATACGCAATGCCATTGTTTTCGAACAAGTTCTCTCCTAAAAAAACTCCTACAAGGAAAGTGGGAGTTTTTTTAGCGAATAAAAATTTCAGTCCACAACGTATAGAAAAAGAACTTGGTCCTAATATTGGTCCTATACGTTTAAAATTGGGGGATCAAGAAACTGTCTTCGAATCTGGTTCATGGATTCCAGGCAAGATTTGCATTAACATTTTTATATGATTTTATATGATACGTTATATTATATTATATAAGAAATTTACACAATTTTAGAATCAGGTAAAATCGGAGGCACATATAAAGAAAATGAGAAATTAAAAAAGGAATAAAAAGATTGGAAGATGAAAATAATTTATTGAAATTAAAATTTGAAGTACTTCTTGATATGGTTATTATTTTATCTTATTTTTCTCAAAATATGTAATATCTAATAAATCATTTAACGCCGTTTTTATTCTTTCTTCTTTTATATAAAAATTACAGTCTTTTTTATTTATTTTTTTTTCACAGTTAACACAAACAACAGCAGAATGTCATTCGCAGAAGGAACAACTAAACAAATTGAAACAGATGTTACCATATGATAAAGGCAGAGACTCTTGATATAAAGATACATTATCATAATTCATTCTTTTTTCATGTCATATTAAATTTTGCATTTAATTAAATTATTATTAATAAAAACTATTGATAAAAAATGTTTTATATATATAATATATAATAATAATAATAATAATAATAATAATAATAATAATGATGACAATAATGATAAAATATTTATTGAAAAATAGGAAAATAAGAAAAAGATTGAGAAGAAAAAGAAGGAAGCGAAATCGGAATAATTTTATCATGAAATTCAGAAAATAATCAAACCGAATTGAAAAATAATTATGTTACTTAACTTTTACAATTTTATTAACAATTTCTTCTTTATTAATCCATTACGTTTTCAGGGCAACATCTTCTTGTATGTCCTACAAACATAATAATATAATAAAAATTAAAAAAAAAATGAAATTACGAAATATATATACGAAATATATATATACAAAATGAACCTTCTATTCCGCAAATTCCACATTTTCTTTTACCAGTAACAACTCGAGGTCTTTTTTGTAAATTTTGGAGTTGCTCGCTCTTTTCTTTTTTAAATCTTTTTTTACTATTTTCTTGAAACGTATTATTACACGTGGCTTCAACGTTTTCATCCGCCCATTGAAAAAATTTACAAGACTCATTTATATTCTTAGGACATGTATAAAAGGAACGTCCTTTATTAGGACCATCTTTTTTTACAATTCGCCTACAAAATACACAAGAAATTATTCCTTTAAGATTCCTGAAGAATATCAAAAAAATTATTATATATTAAACATTTGCTCACGTTGTAGCCAATTCATTACAATTACATTTAATTATTGTAGCTACATTGTAATTATTAACATTTAATTCGGTAATTGTACTAACGAGATTTGAATCTTTATTTGTATTGTTTTGTATATGATCTGACATGTTATCTGGTGCCCAAATAAAAAAATCGCAACGAGTATTCATAGGTTTTGCACACTTGTAAAATGCTCTTCCTAAAAAAAAAATAATTATAATTTAACAATCTCTATAATTGTAAAACTATGAAATTATACGAATTATAATGAATCGTATTGAATGAAAAATCATTCATAAACATTTAAGTCTATACCATGATTTGGTCCTTCTTTTCTTACAATTAATTGAATCGCATTTTCATTACAATTGCATAAAATAACAGAATTTTCATCAATATCACCCCATATTTTATTTTCATTATTATTATTTTTGAAACATTAATACTATTATTATCACTCCATGTATTATTTTTTAAATTATGTTGTCGTTTAGTATTTCGCGATTCCATTGCATTATTGCGATTAACATTGTGATTTCGAATAAATTCTGTAGATATGTTACATTCAGATAAATCTGTCTCATTTTGAATATTTAAAAATGAATAAGTTCCACTGTTTCCTACTGAAGTTGAGCGTGAAACATTAGCTTTGTCAAATGTATTGCGATAACCGGAATCATCAGTTATTTGAGTTTGACTTTTGATATTTGAATCCCTTATTTTTAATAATTCATTAAATGTAGGATCACAACCACCTATGCAAGTTCTATAATCCGTACCATAAATAGGATAAGCATTTTTACGTAATTTAAATTTTAATTCATGAATATTTCCTGGACACTAAAAACACTAATGTTAATTATAAATTATACACATTATATAATAACTATAAATATTGTATAATATATAATAATGTTTTACTCGTGAACAAATATTATCCGTAATTTCAACATCTTCGATATATTCTGGGAGCCAAATTACATTATTGCATGTTGGATATCCTATACACCCAATATATTTTCCCATTCCTTGCTTCCTATCTTTAAGAGTCATATCCAACCACATTTCGGACATTTAAAAATAGCAATATCTTGAGATGGAAAATTATTTTCTAATTCTTGTATTTTCATTGGTTGTTCATCGAAATAATCAGCTAAAGCATTATCAATTAAATTAGCACGTTCCATTGATATCTTAAACAAATCACGATACTTATTTATTTGATTTTCCAATACTTCTTTCGCACTTTTTCGCCGCTCGCATATCCTGTAAATATATAAAATTAAAATATAATCAAAGATAAAATACATTTAAATAATATTGAAAATTTTATTTTGTTATTTAAAAAATAATTAAAAGAATTAAAAAATTAAAAAATTAACGTACAATTTGAGATCCTTTTCCAACTCAGCTCTTAAGCCTGGTTTAGACATTTGAAATCCCATATTATCGTAACCTAGTACTAAACCTATTCCAAGCTTTCCAGGTATTAAATGCTTTTCATCCATCAAACCTACATATTGTCGTGATTTTATTGTATCTATATGTTCTGCATGAGTAGCATCAGTACCGATGCCGTGCTTATCCATCAAAGTGATCAAATCAGCTTCGGTCAATAATTGTGGTGGACATGTTTCCTCTTCTACCATCTCTATACTGGTCGGTTTGAAAACTTGTCCCTCGCGATAATTATGAATCTCTTGTTCATTCCATTTTTCATATATATATACATCTAAATAGTTTTTCTCTATAACTTGTAAACCATTAGCATTAAATTTTTCTCCAGCTATATCAATTTCTACAATTATTTGGTGACCTATTGCATCACTTGATAGACATGCCAAAAAATGACGGACCACGAATTCATAAACTTTAGCTTCATTACCTATCATTAAATAATTTATCACAAATTAACAACAAAATATTCTTTTCATTAAATAATTTATCACAAATTAACAACAAAATATTCTTTTCATATTGAATTGAATAATTGTCAAATTTTCAAGAATATATACCATTTAAAGTATCGCAATATTTTATTGGATGTATTGGAGGATGTGCTTGATCACTTTTTTTGCCTTTTCTAGGATTTACTCCTTTTTCTAACAATTGTTGTGCAAAATTACCCCAAGCCGAATTATTTACTTGTTGATTCACCAATGAAATCAAATTCAATTCTTTTGGAAATATATTGGTTTCTGTACGTGGATAACTAATAAGACCTTGAGTATATAATTTTTCTGCAATTCTCATTGTTTCCTTTGCATTTAAATTAAGTTTACGCAATCCTTGTTTTTCCAATTCCTAAACTTATTTAATGTAAATAAATAAATTGTATTTTACTTTTTTTTCTTTTTCATTTGAACTATTATATTGTTACTTACAATTGTATCTAGTGGTAATGGTCTCCATTTACTTGTAGGTTTACTCAATACCTTTTGTACAGTAGCATTTGGTTGTTCCAAACAAATATCCAAAAATATCTCACAAGGTAATTTTTCAAACAATTTTCCTCTTGCCCATTTAAATTCCACAGAAATATTATCACGAATATCCATTACTTTTATTTTCCAGCATGGTTCAATCTTGAATTCTTCAATAGCTAAAAATCTTTCAACTACAAATCCTAATGTAGGAAATTGACAACTACCATAACTAATTAGCATATCAGCCAAAGTTGTAGGAAATACTTTCCGAAGTCTTAATGTTTGAAATCTTGTAAATGCTGCACCTATAAATTATTGTTCTTGTTGCATTTAAATTTATTGATAAATTTATTTATTATGTTTTCATATGTTTAAAATACCTATTCTTAAATCTAATTCACTTCGTACATCAACAGCATCACTAACTGCTTTATCCGGTTCGCATAAATTTTGAAGTGATCTATTTATAGATGTTTGTGTGATTTCAGAAAATTTTGCCCTATTAAATATTTATATATTTACATCATATGAAATAAAATTATAAGAAGATAAATGACATATTTGATAAATACCTATATATACGAATATTTGGTTTAATCGCACGACAAACTTGAATTATTTCAAAACCTATATTTTCTCCTTCTCTGTCACAATCTGTCCAAATAATTAATGCGTTGCATTTCTGTACTTCCTTTTCCAAAGTTTTTTTAATTTTAATAGAACT